TTGCTGTCCTCCTTCGGGGCCCGAGAGAGAAGACAGAGTGAAGGTACCCGTGGGACCTTGGTTTGTTCTGAACGTTTGTTTCAAGTCTACTTTCTGAGCCTACGTTTCACTTCAGCTAACAGATGACAAAAAGCTAACTAGAGTGCTCTTTGTATGTTGCTTTCCTCCTTCATTGAGATATGATTTAAGTACGTACAATCCATCCACGTGAAGTACAATTCAGTGGTTCTTAGTGCATTTACAGAGTTGTGCGAGCATCACTGAAATCCATTTTAGAACATTTCTTTCACACCAGAAAGCATCCCCATGCCACCGCCATCACTCCCCACTTCCCCTAACTCCCCCAGCCCCTGGCGATCACTCATGCACGTTCTCCTGTCATAGCCATGGAGTCCCACAGCACTGTGTCTTTGTGTCTGGCTTCGTAGCGTCATGTTTTCAAGGTGGATCCACAGTGCAGTGTAGGCCAGAGCTGCAATTCTTTGTATGATGGAATCGTATTCCATTGTACAGATAGACCACGGTTTATTTACCGTTTTGTCACAGATGTACACTTAGGTTGTTTCCTGTTGGGGCTATTATCAATAATTCTGCTATGACCATTTTTTTTTTTCTAAGATGAGGTCTCACCCTGTTGCCCAGGCTGGAGTGCAATGGCACGATCTCCGCTTGCTACAGCCTCTGCCCCCTGAGCTCAAGCGATCCTCCCTCCTCAGCCCCCCAAGTAGCTGGGACCACAGATGCCCACCACCACACCCAGCTACAGTTTTGTACTTTTGGTAGAGGTGGGGTTTCACCATGTTGCCCAGGCTGGTCTCAAACTCCTAAGCTCAAGAGATCCATCCGCCTCAGCCTCCCACAGTGCTGGGATTACAGGCGTGAGCCACCATGCTCGGCCCGGGGACACATGTTTTCATTTCTCCTGGGCATATATCAAGGAGTGGAGTTGCTGGGTCCTTGATAACTCAATGTTTAACCTTTTGAAGAACTCCTAGACTATTTTTCAAATTGGCTGAACTACATATAATATTAAATAATATAAACTTTTTGTGTATTTAACATTATTGTATTATATGTTTTAATATACATATGTTCATATAAAAATTCTCATTTTTAAAAATGTGATTTCTGTTATTTAATCTCTGAAGATCTATAGAGACACAACTTTGTAGCAAGAGCAGATTTTTCATCTGTCTTAAAATTTTTATGTTCATCACTATGGATATATTGACACCCATATCCTGGAAGACAGACAGTTGGAGGTTTCCTTAGTACTCATCATTTCTTTCCTGACTTTTAAGTCGCTCTTCTCTCTCAAAGGGAATCTAATTTCTACTCCTTAGCACAATATTGCTATCTTTTCTTAGAAATACATCTCACAGTTGAACTATAAAGCGATTTGAGAAAAGTAAGATTTTTAGAAAGACATTGGGTCTCTGTAAATATATCCTTTAGAAAATCGACTTCAACTGAAATTTCTGCACTGCACAGCCAGCTCCATGAGGATACGGGTGATGCCGTGATAAATGATGCCCAGAAAGTATCCGATAGATGAGTAACTCATTTTCTAAATTAACATATACTCGGAGAGTATTTTAACCACAGCAGTAAAAGCTCTTTTTAGAGAACCTGTTCTGCCCTGGTTCTGACGGATGGAGGTCTCCATGCTTCTCAGTTCACCTCAACTCTGCATGGACAGTTCACTGACACGGGCCTCCTCTGTGTTCTGTCTTTATGGAAAAATAAATCATAGAGAAAGATTAGCAAATTGATTTTTTTTTAAATAAGCCTCAAATAATGTTGAATGTCAAAGGATTACACTGCTACCTTCCACTCTACTTCGATCAGCAACTCCCAATACAAGTATCAATGATGAGGTCAGACTTTGCGTTCGTGGCCTGACAGGTCTCAGACTTGGCAGTGTTTTCAGTGAAAATGGGCCTCAGGAGGCCTGCAGAAGAGCAAGTAGGGGAGGCCTGGTTCACCGTGAATGTATGCCCTGGCTTCAGCAGTGATGAGTCCTGTAGCCTAGGGGACATGGAGGATCATCACATACTTCTCCTGGGATCCTTCACAAAACCCACCAGTACCTTCAGCAGATGGAGAAACCAACTCTTAATAGGCAGAAAGAAATGGATGGCACAGACCTGGGGTCCCCCGAGCATTTGCAGTCGGGCAAGAGACCAAGTGTGAGGCCTCTGCAGCCAGAGGATGAGTCTCATCTCAGAGCTGCCTCGGTGAAAACGGAATCACCAGCCACATTGGCAGAGACCTCACAGTCAGAGCTGCTGGTACCACAGAGAGGTGGGACGACTGGCGCTGAGGTAGGAATATGGCCACAGACAGCAGGCAGACCAGAGGTGGCTGCTGCCACAGCTGCCATCAGCAGCCTAGACCCCCCTTTGTGTTGCCAGCGTCACCTCCAGTGTGGAGAAAACACATCTTACCAGAAGACCCTGTGCCCATGTGCACTCTGGGGAGTCTAGAAAAGGAGACCTCACAGGCAGAGCCCCTGATGGCACAGCCTCTGCCTCTACAGTGCCAGGTTCCCCAAACCAACCAACAGCTGCAGCAGCAGAACTGAGATGCAGGTTGGCCGAACCATGGACAGACGCTCACGGACAGATAGAACAACGGACAGACAGAACCACGGACAGACGCTCACAGACAGAACCACGGACAGAGAGAACCACGGACAGATGCTCACGGACAGAGGGAACAACGGACACACAGAACCACGGACAGATGCTCACAGACAGACAGAACAACGGACAGACGCTCACGGACAGACGGAACAACGGACAGACGCTGACGGACAGACGGAACAACGGACAGACAGAACCACGGACAGACGCTCACGGACAGACGGAACAACGGACAGACAGAACCACGGACAGACGCTCACAGACAGACAGAACCACGGACAGACGCTCACGGACAGACGGAACAACAGACAGTAGTTCTGCTTTAGCTCTTTGAGGATTTGCCACTCTGCTTTCCACAACCGTTGAACACACATTAGCAGTGTACGAGTGTTCCCTTTTCTTCACAGCCTCACAGCGACACGAATTTTTTAATGTAATAAGGGGGGGTTCTGGCTCTGCCATAGTAACTTGGATTGAACAGATGCTCATACAGAAGACAGCTGCGAACTCTGGAACACACACACATGTACACACACACAAAATAGAACAGAAACATTTCTGTGTCATTCTAGAAAATTTTTCACTTTTTAAAAAAATTTTCTAAGCTACAAAGTCTATATAGCAAAATTTGTTTTCGTTTCTGACAACCGGAATGCCATGGGAATTACCACCTGGAGGGACAATCAAAGGGGCTGAAAGTCAACTTCAAAATGGCCGGGGACGTCCGGGGAGGATTTTCAGGGGTAGAGCCAGGCAGATTTTGTGGGGAAGGCTGTGCTGGGGGCTTCACCATCTGTCATGTGGCAGAGCGGCCAGAGGGTGCATCCCCCAGTCTTGATGGGCCCCGCTGACCCCAGTCCTTGTTCTTGAGTTTTGGTCTGTGGCTGTGGAAGATAGCTGGCGTTCTGGGACTCTGTATGATAAAATGCTAAGCCCTTATAATATTTTTTAAAAGCCTCTTAAGCCAAATGAGGCTGGGGTTTTGTTTGTTGTTTTTTAACTATTAAAAAGTCTGTGGTCTCAAAGGATGGGATCTTTTGGGCTCCATGTTCCTGTGACTCAGCAGCTGTGACCTTGGGATTTTAAGCATGAACCCCGAGCCAGGCTGCATGGACTCAGAAGGGAGCGCCACCCCCACCCCGCCTGAGCCTGAGCATGTGGCCTGGCAGCAATGCACATCTCATGCCACATTCGTAGGAGGAGGGTTGGGAGGGGGCCTGGTTTATAGGACTAATGTAAAAATTAAATGGGTTAGGACAGTGCAAAACACGTATTGGCATCTCTGCTGTAACCATGCATAGAAAATGTTAGCTATTGTGAGTCTGTGTTTTAAAAAACTATTAGCTTTCTTCAGTGGTAACATTTATGTGTCATACTCTATTTTGAAACAAAGAGAATAATTGATAGAATACGTATTTGAAACACAGACTCACAAAATACACGGATCCACCTGTGAGGGCCGTCCAGCGACCACCGCCGGGGTCACGAGCCGTGGCTCTGAGGTGCTCACTTCATTCACGCACCAGGCACTGGTTAGAAACTGGACACCAGATCCAGAGGACGAGAATCCTTCTTTTAGGTTTTCTCTGTCTAGAAGGCAACCTCAATTTGAGAATGTTAAAATGCAAACGGTGGTATTAATCAGAAGGGACAGCTGTTACATTGGAAGAAAATTGGTAACCGGTAGAAACTGAAGCTAAGTTGGATCTTTGGTTGCCAAACATCTGCAAGGTTCTTCCGTGCTCTTAACATTTCACAAAATGGCAAGGAGGAAGACCAGAGAACATTGATTTTTTAAGGGAGTTTGGAAGAAAACGACCACTGTGATAATAAAATGGATTTCACTCAGCTTCCTCCTATTATCTTTGCTGATATTGCATAACCTGGACAACTTTGCATAAGATAAAACTGAAAGTGAGCCTTGTATTTTTCTCTGTTATTTTTTAAAAATATGTAAAGTTGCCAGAGAGCTAATAATTTTTATGAGGCTCTCAGTCTTCTGGCTTCAGTTCAGGAGCTGAGCTTGCTATTGTGCTGTATGAGTTACTAGAGCTTCCAGCACTCTTTATTTTTTAATATGGAATGATCCTAATTTCACTACCTGGCCATAAAATCTCAGGTTTCAAAGGCAATTTTGTAAATAGCCTCCCCTATTACTTTTGATGAAATTCACATTCGTAAATGTGAATCTCAGAATATTTGCATAAGGCAAAGTTATCCATCAAAAGACACAGACATTGAGCTGGAAGTGTGACAACAGCCTCTCAGTGTGGGTGAACGGTCGTTCCCATCCCTGGGATGCTCCCGCCTCTGGGTGCTCACAGAATGCCTTTTCTCCTTTCTTCTTTCCTGTAGCCAGAGCTACCTGCAAGCTGCAAGCGACGTGCCTGTCGGCCACAGCCTGGACCCCGCCGCGAGCTACAACTCCCCGAAATTCCGCTCCCGGAACCAGAGCTACATGAGGGCCGTCAGCACGCTGAGCCAGGCCAGCTGCGTGAGCCAGGTCGGGGTCCCTTCGCCCTTTCTCCCTGGGGTCCAGTCTCCCCGGCCAGCTGGCCTCGCGAGGCCCTGGCTGCACAGGCGGTGACGGCACTGCCTGCCCGGTCGGCAGCGCGCGTGCGAGACCACGGCGCAGGGGGTTCCACCTGGAATCAGCTCTGGCTGATTAAGCACGCGTGAACTTACTCTTTTCGACACTTGTCATTCTATATCCTTTTCGCATTGTTGATTTTTTTCTGAGGAAGCAGTGACAGAAAGGCTGGTGGCTTTCTTCCTTCTCCCAGGATATTTTTACACTAAAAAGGGGCCAGGGAAAGGCTCTGGCAGTGTGGCTTTCAGCTACGTCCCCCGAATTGCGCCTCAGAATGTCCTGTAAGGGGACTGCCTGGTGTCACTCACAGAGACCTGCCGGTCGGGCTCACTCCAGGACAGGACTTATTTCAGGACAGACACAACGGCCATGAGAAGGGTCCCTGGGCACCACGGGAGGGGTGGTGTGAAAATCAGGTCCCTGAGACATGGGGGCTGTGAAAGGGAGGCCCCCTGCTCCCCCACTCATGGTGGACAGGGCTGAGAACACACAGTGACAAAATGGGCAGGTGTCATTGATTCTAATCATCCTATATTATACAGCAAAGAAGAATGGGTATTTTATAATTTTAATTAAACACATTGCTTACTAATTTAAATGCCTTTGAAAACAGTACTTGAGCTGACCTTGAGTTTGTACACCTAACGTTTTCTCTGACTTGGTGTGGAGTAGGGTTTAAGAGCCCGCGATTTCCACGCCCTCCTGCGATGCAGTTAGTGACAAAGTAATTGCGCAGGGAATTTTGGATGTTATTAGGTAAAGAGTGCAGAATATACTGAGCACTCAAAAATGATAGCCCTTATTATCACCGTGATAACAGTAAGTAGCCGTGTGTGACTCTGGGCAGGCCCCCTAGCTGCAGAGGGACCATGCTGTGAGCTCTGGGTAGCACGCCCGGGATTCGTGAGCCCGTCTTTCTTCTGCCGCAGACTTTACATGCCTTATGAGATAGTCTATTCATTTTGCAGTTTTCTTTTCTCATCAGAAAGTTGTACTCTGAACTTTTTCCACTGAACTATTAAGGTTTTCCCTATTCCACACCTCAAGAAGGATTCCACCTCTTTTATCTACTCAGTTACTACCTTTCTTCCAGAAGTGGGGTTAAGTTCTCATCTTCAGCAGGATCTGCACTGACTTTTCCCTATTGACAAGGCAAGGCCATCCCTGGCCCTGCACTCCAGTCCTGGGCAAACAGGAATGGTAGTCATCCAGCCCCTGCGCCCAGCCAGACCCCCACAAACAATAACAACTGATCCTCAGCAACTAGATAATTATAATTATTTAATAACTGAGGAAACATTCTATTTCAGCATAAAGTCCAAGGTGATTCTGGGAGACACTAAGTAACTAAACAGAGTAACAGAAAGTCAGTGACACGTCGTAACGACTTTTCCCGACGCAGGGATGAGGGTACAGCAGACTTCCGTATTTTAAAGCTATCACCTTTCACCTTCCCTTACAGTCGATGTAACCTAGTTTACCAAAATACAGCTTTTAAGCAGGTATAACCCAGCAAAAGGTTTGAACAGAAGTGCAAAGTTATCTCTTCAGAGATAGGGACATGCATCTCTAGTGCTTTCCACAAACAAGTTTCAGTTAAATGGATTTCACGCCTCTTTAAATGCTCTTATGAAACCGTAAGAGGCTTTCCGTGGCTGTCATTTTGTGGGTCAATGTAAGCTAAATACACTAGTTCTCTCGTGCTCCTGCTTTCAATGAACCCAAGACGGTGTCTACAAAAATAAGTCAGTAAAAATAACATTTTCTCGCATCTTTTTCTGTCTGAAAGGATTCATCATTGGAAACAATGGTTAAGCAGACAGGTTGGGGGTTGGGAGTTTATTTAACGACTTGGAAATTTAGAATTCTAAGTCATTCCCATTGCAGAGTTCTGTGGCATGACTTTAACTTGAACTCAGTATTGAATTATTTAAAAATATATACTGTTATTTAAAATAATCCTAGAACGCTGGTGGTAGGTGGGACTATATCACACCCAGAAACACACTTCCACGATTGTCCAGCCCTAGGCCACGAAACCCAACAATTCAGGAAGGAGGGGGCAGTTGCCGTGGACCAGGGTGGGACGTGTGGAATCACTAACACGTCGGACTCGGGAGAGACGTGAATTTGATGACAAACCAAAGTTTGTTCAGTTTACTGTTAAAAGTTTGCCCTTTTTCTTTAACACTCAATTTGTTTCTCAAGCACAAAAAGGGAATTTAAAATCTAACCAAAGTCTTGTGAGAGATGCTTATGTCTACGCCATTTCCTGACTGCAAGCTCAGTAGCTGGGCTCTGCTTGGGCGTCCTGCAGCTCATGAACTCATGAGAGGAGGTCCGCGTGTCCCCAAGAGTCTCGGCAGGAGGTCCAGGTGTCCCCCAGAGTCTCGGCGGGAGGTCCGTGTGTCCCCAAGAGTCTCAGCAGGAGGTCCAGGTGTCCCCCAGAGTCTCGGCGGGAGGTCCAGGTGTCCCCCAGAGTCTCGGCGGGAGGTCCAGGTGTCCCCCCAGAGTCTCGGCGGGAGGTCCGTGTGTCCCCCAGAGTCTCGGCGGGAGGTCCGTGTGTCCCCCAGAGTCTCAGCCAGGAGGTCTGAGTGTCTGTCCCCCCAACCTCCAGAGAGTCTAGTGGGAGGTCTGGGTGTCATGAGAGTCTCAGCCAGGAGGTTCAGGTGTCCGCCCCTCCCCACCACCTCCAGAGTCTCGGCAGGAAGTCTGTGTGTCCCGAGAGTTTTGGGAGGCCTGAGTGAACGATCATTTTAATTCCCTGCTGGACCAACTTCAGATGCTCCTCGCTCTTTATTTGTTTGGGGGAGGAGGGGTCCCCTTCATGTCTGGAACCTCATTGACAAGCCTTTGTAGCTGGAAGCATAGCCAAGGTCCTGCTGAGATGTTGGCTTCTGTTTTTGAAATGCACACACCAGGTTAATGGGTTCTCTTCTTCAGGAGCGAGGGCAGCAGGGCCGGGCTTGCAGAAGGGTGTCCACTGAGGCGTACGCGGGCCTTACACAGATCTGACCTCACGCTGTCTACAATAGATCTTTGACATGAATGACGCAATCTAAGGCTTTTCTGTAAAATTCTACTTCAGTGAAAACTTAGATTGGAAGAAATTCATGGTCCAGGAAAATGTCCTATTTCCAAGTCAGTTTGCGTGTTTCCAAGCACTTTGCTGGGTTCCTGAGGCCGCCTCACTAGCTGTGTCCTGGTTGTGCCTCCCTGAGTTTGTCTGTCTCTGTCCAGTGTCAGGAATCCTCAGACCTTTCCGGAAAAGGCCATTCCGCCAGTGTTGTGCCAACTCTTTCTCCAGCCCAGTGTTGGTCTGTCTCCCTGCAGGTGGCTTCAGGCTCCACTGCCCTTCGCTCACCCTCTGTCTCTCCAGGGCCAGTGCTGACTTAGGCTCACTCAGACTTTTTGAGGAGAGGGGCCATCCTTCCAGCACATAGGTAACCTTAGGGCAAAACCAGAGAGATCCACGGTTCTGAACTTGGAGACCACAACGGTTGTGAGACGGAGAACCTGATTCTTTGACCTTGCCTTTTACTCTGCTGACAACTAGAGGAAAAGACTAATCCGGTGTTAAAACAGTGTATTTTTAAAATGTATCTGCCAACATAATCCAGGGGTTTCAGGAAGTTGTTGGTGCTTTGGGCTCTCACACATCCCTGGGAGAACCAAGAAGAGAGATAATCTGAATGGGAGTGGTGAGGGGAGAAAGAGAGAGGGGAAAAGGAAGGAAGGGAGGGAAGGAGGGAGGGAAGGAGGGAGGGAAAGGCACACAGAGAAACAGAGAGAGGAGGGAGGGAGGAAGCAAAATAGCATCTGGTTTCTAAGGAAAACTGAGCAAAGTCAGATAAGTGAGTGAGTGCTGACAGCTTGTAGCTAGGTCCCTGATGTGAATGTGTCCAGCATGGTGGGAACCCAGCATCTCCCCAGCCGCATATGGGGACCATCCTGGAGAATGTGACCACCCAGCTGAGGTCTGCAGCTGTGGAGAGCAAAGGGAATGGAAGTGGGGAGAGATTATGGCAGAGAGAGGGATCAGCTGTTCATCCTCAGAAGCAAAAGAGACGGAGGGTGGTTTGGGGGATGGCGTGACTTTCTGCCACTTGTGTGGCTCCCGTTCGGGAAAGGGGTGCAGAATCTGTCTGGTGGGGATTGGTGGCCGGACCCCAGAGGGCCGTGCTGAGGAATCTGTGCTCAGCTGCAACACTGTCCTAGTGAAAACATCAAACTGTGGAATGGTGCTAGACTGAGAGAGAGATACACAGTCATAGGCAGCTGTGAGGATGTGGCGGGGTGGAGGACAGGGAGAGAAGAAGGCCAAAGCACAAAGGAGAAACTGAGGCCCGAGAGCAGCAGGTGGGCTTGAAGGGTGAATACAGATGCCTGGGACCTGGGGGAGGTCCAGGCGGATTCCCGGGTTTCCAGCCAAGGTCTCTGCAGCAGGAGGGGTGGGATGAGGAGATGACCCACAGGTGGAAGGAGGCTGTGTCTGCACCGTGGGGGCTGCTCCTGCCCCTTCCCCAAGCCCTGATGCTTCCGGAGAGGCTGGCCCTTGTTCACAGGTGTCACGAACAAGCATCCCAATTGCACATGCATGTTGACATGTGTGAGATGTGCCCTGGGGGAGACCCACAGGCTATGATGAGAACTGGAGGAGAGGGGTCAATGGTCACGGTCCCAGTCACCTGGTTTCCCTCCGTGCTGCGCCACGGCCTGTGTCTCTGAGGACTGTGTAATCAGCCTGTGTTCAGCTTTCCATTCTGAAAATCCTCATTCCTTCCACCTGGTCTCTGCAACACCGTTTCAGTCCAATATTCTACTTTGTTGGGTTTCCATTTAAAACCTCCCCATTTGGGCCAGGTGCAGTGGCTCATGCTTGAAATCCCAGCACTTCGGGAGGCCGAGGCGGGTGGATTACCTGAGGCCCGGGTTCAAGACCAGCCTGGCCAATATGGCGAAAGCCTGTCTCTACCAAAAATACAAAAATTAGCCAGGCATGGTTATTAGCCAGGCGTGGTGGCTAATTATGGGCTCCTGTAATCGCAGCTACTCAGGAGGCTGAGGCGGGAGAATTGCTTGAACCTGGGAGATGGAGGTAGCAGTGAGCTGAGATCATGCCCCTGCACTCCAGCCTGGGCAACAAGGCAAGACTCCATCTCAAAACAAACAAACAAAACCAAAATATCTAGATTTGGCTCATGGGAATGCAACAGCATGGCCACCAGGAGACCCACAGGCCACGCATTGCCTCCTGGTCAACCACCATAAGCCACGGTGGTGACTCACCCGGCAGCCACGCCAGCGTGGGCACATCCACTGAGATCCCCACCACTCAAGCCAGGATGAGTTTTCTTCAAATGCAGTTGAAACATTTAGGGCCCCAGGGTGACTCCATACCTGGAAATGAAGCATAGGCTGGATAATAAGTGCTTTATCTGCTGAACTATCCCATGAAGTGAGTATACTAATACCCTAACCTAAAGAAGAAGAAAGAAAAGGCTGGAATTTAGGTAACGCAACACACTTCATGTGGACAAAAACACCAATACAGCCATTTCTTTCTCACCTGGTCTCAGATGTGTGCTGCAGTAATGGTGAGAAGGAGCTGGGTTCAGAAGCCAGATTTGTGATTGGTTGCTGTGGCAATGGGTAGGAGCAGGCGCCCCGTTCTGAAAAAGAACTGAGGAGTGTATGCACTTCATGTGCTTTCCCTGACACGGCCTCAGCACCTGGAGTACCTTGAAAGGTGAGACCGGCATGTGGGGAGAGAGAAGGAAGAAATCGATTCTGAACACTTATTTGTACCAGCTACTTTGCTAATCTTTTACAAGTTCTGCCTCTCTTAAACGTTGTAATAACTGTCAGCCATACCTTGAAGGTTCACCCGGTGGGTCCCCAGAACTTCATCAACACTTGGAATTGGCTGTTTGCCTAAGTGTTTCGTAAGGAATAACCCAATGATCCATTTCCCAAGCTCAGCCAATGTCCACGCTGATTTCAAGTTAGCTCTGCTGAAATACGAGGCCGTGAAGGGGTGCCATGCAGTGCGTGCACCCTCCTGGCTCTCTCTAACGCGGCAGTAGTGACCCTGCAGGGCCGGGCATCACGTGTGCTGTTGATGATTGCAGGTGAGCGAGGCGGAGGTCAACGGGCAGTTCGAATCCGTATGCGAGTCCGTCTTCAGCGAAGTCGAATCTCAGGCCATGGACGCCCTAGACCTCCCAGGATGTTTCCGAACAAGGAGTCACAGCTACCTTCGAGCCATTCAAGCCGGCTACTCCCAAGATGACGAATGTATCCCCATGATGACACCGTCCGACATCACCTCCACCATCAGGTCAACAGCAGGTAAGAAGAGAACGCCACTTTCAGCCTTCCCGCAGGGACTCTGCAGCTGCACCTCCCTTTATCCTAGAAGGAGCGGGTGCCCGTGGCACCACAGGTACGGTGTGCTCTCCTGACATAAGTAACGTTCCTCGATTGCATTTGTCACACTGTTGCATTCGCAAGCGTGCTTTGTCTCTTAGAAATAACCTTTCCTTTTCTTAGAGTGAAATCTACTAATTATCAAGCTTCCTGAAAATGATCAAGTATAACTTTTAGAAAGTTTTATAGATTAGAAAAAAAAAAATAGAAGTGCTAACATTTGGAAGGTGATCAAGTTTGATGAGCGGCGGTCACTCCCAGGCTTCCCGTAGCCACGTCAGGCCGGTCTCTTGTTCAGTAAGTAGATCTGCAAACATGACTCACTGCCCCTGAGCAGGTCCATCATTAACACAGATGCACTAACCATCTTAGACCTCTGAACACTCGGCGTCGCAATGTCCTATCATTCTCATGGAAAACCATACCCACCTCTTTGAAAATTTACCATCCAACCTAAATATCACTGCCTAATATTTTAGCGCCAAATATGTTATTATTTCTATAACACGATGAATATACATGGCCTGGAGAAACCCATAAAACACAGCAAGCAATAAAAGCTCTCCCGTGGCACACAGCGGCCAAGGAGAGGAGCCATAAAATAACACAGTGATAGGGAGTGAGGTGTTCTGAATACCAGAGGGTCTGGAGTGCTGTGCAGTATCTTAGGAATTTAAGGGACAGCTCTGTGGGGAAATAGAACACAGTTATGTTCATAATAAATCACATCAGCAACAGCAGACACAACAGGAGAGAAGCAAAGAGAAATGCAGGCAGGACTGTGTGAGACCTATGAATAGGTCTTGGTTTGTTTCAGTGCTAAGGTGAACAGGAATTCCAGGAGATTGCACTTTGCAGAATTACAAATTGCAGAATCGCACCTCTGTATACAATCAGTACCATCCCTGTGCCTTGTGGAGAATATTGCGTCGCAGTGTCTGTGGATGGAAGAGAAAGAACTGTATTCAAACTGCGTGCCGTCCCGTCCCCACTGTAAGCCCTTGTGCTTGTTCTCTTTGCTGACTCTCAGCCTCTGCGGTATTCAAAAGAAGTTGTAGCCGTGGATAATTTATTCACACAAGCTTAAAGATTATTTTTCAAAGAAAGCTGTGGGTTCTCGGTGTGCTTTTTATGCGGCGGAGCTTGCTTCAACGCTGAGCCATGGGCTTGGGGAGAAAGGCAGCAGGTCTGGCGTCTCGCAGGGCTTGGTGTGCGAGGGAGGGCGGTGCCCAGGGCCTGCCCGAGGGAAACCCACAGGCCTGACAGCACAGCTCCGAGGCGCAGGCACCGGGCGGCTTTGGGCGGCGGGCATAGCTTCCTGTTGTCCTCTGATGTGGACTTCTCTGCTCACCCCTGCCCCACCATGAGACGTGGGCCAGTTCTCACATGCTCTGCCCTGATGTGAACAGAAAAAATTAGAATCAGGGAAGTCATGAGATTTACAATTATTGCATTGAAAAACAACACTCCAAGAGATCGTTACTCACTTCTTCTCCAGGATTTGTTTACTGTCTCGTAGGAGCAAGTAAACAATTAAGCACTTGGACGGTCTTCAGAACTGCTTTGAAACAATGATTACCTCGTAGAAAACGACTTTATTGCTTTAGGGCTGTCTTTATAGTGAGAATGAAAATAAAACAGATTTTACAGAGATAAGAAACAGCTCTGAGCTCAGACTAAAATTTTAATTTATATGGATGCAATTTTTACCATGTATATTTTGTATTCCAAAAATGCACACACCAAATAAATCACACAGAAAAAAAGATTCTATTCAGAGTTTCTACTGGATCTTTGCCTAGTTTTGAGTCAGAATTTCCTCTAAGTGATGCAGGGGACTGTCCGAGTTATGGGAGAGTCTGAGAATCCAGTGAATAAAGAAATGAAAGGCACTAAGGGAGATACGTAGCACTGTAGGGTTACAAGGTACCCTGTGAGGAAATGCACGTACAGATTAATCATTAACCTCTCCTGTTTCGCATTTTACCCTAAGTACTGTATATTAAATATTTAAATCTTCATTTACTAAATAAAATTTAGATGACATACAATATAGTCTATTCAATAAGATTATAAATAAATGAAAAATCCCTGTGTGGGAAAACAAAATATGGAGGAGAACTATCAAAATGTGTAGGACACAAGTGTCTAGATACTTGTGATAGCTAAATCTCAGCTTTGATCCAAAGCTTCCCGTCAATAAGTCAAGTGGACTTCAAATTGTTTCTACTTAAATACTTCTTACTTTTATATGTAAATACTTGGAAATTAGTATACTAACACGTTCAATAGCTGTCCTTCACTGATACATGTATATGTGTGTATATGTGTGCCTGTCTTATACGTATAGGGAGAGAGGTTATTTTGACAGATTGACTTTCTTTTATGATCTTCTTTCTAAAACTAGCTCCTGAAAATAATTCCAAAGAGTTATTTTTGAAAACATTCCAAAGTGAGTACTTTGAAGAATAAGATTTATTTAAACATGTTACTTTATGCAGGCTCAAAAGATAAAAGTTGGTGTTATTATTAGATTGTTTCACCTTGTTTAAATACAAATGTATAATATTCACATAATAAATTAAATATTGAATATATGCATGAAAGATGTATTGAGAATTTAAAAATACATATTAGACCATCTGTTTTTTTTAACTTTTGGATTTTTTAATTTTAAGTTCTGGGGTACATATGCAGATCTTGCAAGATTGTTACATAAGTACACACATGCCATGCATGGCGGTTTGCTGCATCCATCCCCTCATCACCTACATTAGGTATTTGGCAAAGACTTGACCAACGCAAATGCCCATCAAGGATAGACTCGATAAAGACCATCTGTTTTAGACATAGACAGGACGATGTTCCCGGAGGATGCTTGTTGGTTTGGGGCTACCGAGTTCACCTGCTTTTTCACTCAACCTTTAAAGGCAGCTGGTGATTCAGCTGAATAGAGCCTTTTAATCTACTCGCCGGCCAACTCAAGAACAGGATAAACATTCCCACACGCATCAATGTTCCCTCGTCCCCCGTTTCTCTCATTTTGGAAAACACTGCATATTGATTAGTGTCCTCTCCTTAAATGAAGTGGTTTTGAAAACATCTAACTTTCATTTCACACATGGCTTCTTTCTCATCTGTGAAATGATTTATCGGATTGCTTTACTTGCCCAAGTACGCCTCTCACCCAATTTTTCCAGGGAGGGAATATTATTGATATTGTGAAGGAAAATAATATAAAATTAGATTATAATGGTTTTTCTCTGGGTCAGAAATTTTCTCGACATATGATACAACTGATTCTAGAAGTCATTAAGACAAAGGGAAAATCTATAGCACGGCAGAGGAAACAGCCACAGACCATTTTTTTTATTTATATTTCTATAGCAATCTGTCTCCCAAGGGCGCATAGTAATCCCATTTCCAAGATAGGTACTTGCCAACGTATAGGAGAAAAAGTATCTCTATATTGCGGTACCTTGAATATTAGAGGCAGGGTAACTATTTTTCAATACTATGTTTTTTTGTTGCTGTTTTAAAAGTTTACTTCTTTGCTGACCTTCCTCTGTTTGAACAAATATGACTATGTATTTAATCCTTCCAATTTTAACCTTCTACAATAAAAGACAGTGTTTTACTTCATTTTACCTTTTCGGGAAGAACATATTTTCAGGTGTACGAGCCTGGGGAAGCCTCAACCTTCTGGTCCAGCGCCTGGTACTGTTGAGTGACTGTGTAACTGAGATGCACGTTTGCATGACGAGATGTTGAACATACGTCAAAACTTTAATTTGAAAAAGTAGAGAATTTAAAAGAAAAGAAACTGAAAATGGATGTCAGCTGGGCTATTCACAAAATGTTTTGGCCAATAAAGATTATTTGAAATCATAAAATACCACAGGGCACGTGCAGGCGTGTCGGGCCACACAGATGCCACTTGGTAGGCCCGGCCGATGGCTGCCAAGGCACCCCAGTGGGGAGAGCCCGTCTGGCTCAGGATGTCTCAGCAGACGTGCTGCTCGGGGACCAGCCTTTCCAGGCCCACGTGCCTCTGACAGGCCCCTTGCCCTCCTCTCCTCCCTTCCCAGATGGCTGGCAAGGAGGCCCTGCCGCCAGCCTCCCCGCGGAGTTCAAATAAGACGCACTCTATGGCGAAAGGCTTTGGGAAGGACTTTTAGCTCTTTACTGGAAGAATGAGCAGCTGGACATTCTGTAAAAGCCACAAAATCTGAAAACCAGAAGATTCCCCCAAACACGCCTTTTCCATGGGTTTGTCAGTCAAACACCAGGGCTCCACAGGTAGGCCAGGCTCCGGCATGGACATGGTTGCTCGGGGCACGTGACCTGTAGGGCTCCACAGGTAGGCCAGGCTCCGGCTCGGGCAGGCTTGCTCGGGGCATGTGACCTGTAGGGCTCCACAGGTAGGCCAGGCTCCGGCTCGGGCAGGCTTGCTCGGGGCACGTGACCTGTAGGGCTCCACAGGTAGGCCAGGCTCCGGCTCGGGCAGGCTTGCTCGGGGCATGTGACCTGTAGGGCTCCACAGGTAGGCCAGGCTCCAGCACGGACGTCGTTGCTCGGGGCACTCTGACTTGTAGCCTCAGATCATAACTTTCTGACAGTCAACAGCTTGCACTGCCAGGACCACGTGAACATCCCACAAGGTGATGAAAAGCCGCATTTCAGTAAACAAAGGAGCAGAGGACATGAATGAAAAACGTCACACGTGATCCCTTTCTGTTTTAGAAACATAAGAAATGAACTAGAATAAAGAACAATCATCTATAGGCCAATTGAAGATTCTAAATAAAAGATCAAATTACATTTCTGTCGTGAGCATTTATTAAGTGTTTGCTGTGTGCCAGCCGCTGCGCCAGGTGCTCTCTGAACACAGAAGCACTGAAGTCTGGCCCCAACGGCCTGAA